ATCAGAAAATCTTTAATCCACTGATGCAGTGGACCGTTAATGCCGAAATATTTTAATTTTTTAAGCAAACTATGGTGGTGAACTTTGTCAAAAGCCTTGGAAAAATCTAGTAAGATAGCATCTATTTGTTCACTATTATCTAAACCTTTTGAAAAATCATCAATTAGTCCTATTAGTTGTGTTTCACATAATCTATATTTCCTAAAGCCATGTTGGTATGGGGTGAGGACATTATGTTTGTCTAAGTGGTTTATGATATTGCTACATATTATGTGTTCTAGTATTTTACATGTGATGCTGGTAAGTGATACTGGTCTGTAGTTTCCTGGATCAGATTTTTCTCCTTTTTTAAATAGGGGGGTGACATTAGCTTCTTTCCAGTCCTTTGGTACTCTGCCCTGGTTAAGCGATGCTTGAAAGAGTATTTTGAACACTGGGGCTAGCTCATTGCTTAGTTCTTTGAGTAGTCTAGCTGGAATACCATCAGGTCCAGACGCTTTATTTGGTTTGGTGTTGGCTAATAGTTTTTGAATTCCATTTTCTTGTACTACTAAATCTTCTATGTTGTCTACTTGGTTCAAATTAAGAAATATGTCTTTGTCTCCTGGGGCTGAGAATGCTGATGCAAAGTATTTGTTTAGGATGTTTGCTTTAGTTTCATTATCATTATGTATTATGTTATGTTCATCTTTTAATGGCGCTATGCCTGTTGTTTCCATTTTCTTAGACTTAATGTATGACCATAGGTTTTTGTTGTTATCTTTAGATATTACATTGTTTATGTATTCACTCTGCAGCTGTCTGCTTACTTTTTGGGTTAGGTGTTTAATTTTTATATACTTTTTGTAAACTCTTTCTGCCTTGGTTGCTTTAAATTTTCTATATAGGTTTTCCTTCTGTTTACAAAGCTTCTTTAGTCTATTATTAAACCAGCATTTATTTATTTTGTTTGATGTGTATTTAGTTGGTATATGATTTTCTATAATGCTTTTAAGATGGTTTTTAATGAAATTCCAGAGGTCATCGACTGGTTGGTTAATGTCTTTTTCTAATAAGAATGTTTGTTGAAAGTTTAATGCAGCTTGGTGTAGTTGTGTTAGGTTACATTTATTCCAGAGTAAGATTTTTCTTTTGGTTTTTGTATTGGCTACTGCTTTTATCTGACTGTGTATTTTTATGATCTCATGGTCTGATAGACCAGGGATAATATCATAATCAACTACTAATCCAGGTCTGTTGGTTAAGAAGAGATCTAATGTGTTGTTTAATCTAGTTGGCTTTTTAATGATTTGATCTAAACTTAGGTTGTGTAAAGTTTCTATGAAAAGCTCATTTATGTCCTTAAGGTTTTGGTGTTTATCTATGGTTAGTGTTTTCCAATTTATATCAGGTAGGTTGAAGTCACCCATAATCCAAAAAACTGCATTTTTATTTGTCTCTTTAAGTGTAGTAATCTGATTACATAGTTCCTGCATGTATTCTAAACTAGAATTTGGTGGTCTGTAAATGCTGCCTATTATAAGGGATGTTGAGGTGGTATTAATTTTACAAAATGTAGATTCTATGTTTTTTGAGTTAGGTAAGGTAATTTCTTCTGCTATAAGAGTGTTTTTTATTGCTAAAAGAACTCCTCCATGATTATCAGCCCTATCTTTTCTAAAAATTTCATAATTACTATTGAAAATTTCTGCATTATAAATTTCAGGATGTAGCCAAGTTTCTGTTCCTGCAATTATGTCTGGTTTCTCACATTCTAATAAAATTTCTAAGTCTGCTGTTTTGTTCCTAATGCTTTGAAAATTTATTACTAAGGTTTTAAGGTATTTTGGTATTACTTCTTTAGTAGGTTTGTTTAGTGAGGCTGTTGTATTAATTTTAGTAGATTTAGGTTTAACAGGAGTGGATCTGGCTAGTGGTTGGTGAGTTGGTTTTGGGATGGTGTTTAGGATGTTGAATGGGTTAGAAGTGTCCGCATCAAAGGAATCAAACAGTCCTGATGTAAACTGAGGTAACCCACACGGTACACAGTGCCATGATGCATCTTTGTTGCCTAAGGCATAATACACAGGTGTATTCATATGGAGACATGATGCATGGTACCATTCATCGCAGGTGTCACATTGAATGGCTTTCTGTTTCATGGTGCATACTTTTTTGCAGATGTTGCATCTATCTTTAGATCTAGGCCCTGGATTTGACTCTACATCTCCTGCTATTAATATTAACAGTGAAAGGTATTTATTTCTACTGTGTCTGATTGAGAACTTCCATTTGTGATGGGTAATCTTCTTTAATGTTATGGATGTGTATGTTAGGTTATTTTTGAAGTTTCATTGATCTAAAGTGTGATGATTGATTATGACTGTCTGACTGCCCCAGACTTGCTGATCTCTGTCTCGACAGGTCTGGGAATCCAAAAATTACTTTTTTTGAAAATGATATTGTCATTAGAGAGTAGATGTCAACTGAATCAGAATCATTTCAAACATTTCATTTGTTGCACTATAAATATTATTCAGTTTTATAGAGGTAACTACATGATCGCGATTTTAAAAGCAATTTTTTTCTTGAAACGACTGCACGTTTTGACAAGGTTGGTTAAATCCTGGAAAAGTTTAAAATCGCTTGGAAAAATATTTGTGATGTCTAAACAGATGGTGATCCTAGATTTCTAGCATGGCGATATGGATTTCAACGTTACCGAAAAAGACATTGGCACTAATTGCATCGAGACTTCAACAAGAAGAACAAGAATGAATTAATTAGAGCCATTCTAATTATGCTTTGAAACAGTCAAAAAGTATAATAATAAGACTTGTCTTCGAGTCCGAATATCAATGAGGAATGCTGTATTTCCCATGCCTACTCAGCCCCAGCTTCGACCTACATATTTTGTCACACCTAGCGCAGGCATAGCCTGCACGTTGACCATAGCCATTGTCCACCGGTGGTCCATTTAGATTTTCTTTTCACTGTCTACGTCTGTCCTCGGCAGCGTATTTTCTTTTGCTCTCAAAAGTGCATCCCGCGGCCTCTGTGAGTGACCTCCAGCTGTCTCGTTCTTAATCCGCCTGCAACTAGGTGCTCTCTTCTATTTCAGTCAAAGCAAGTTGGCGCCTAGGCTGGTCTTCAAAGCGTTTTCGCGGGTCACCTCTGTTACGTTGACGAAAACATTATAATGAGTTAGATACATCCAACAATGTTCTGCTATTTTTCATGGATTTTTTTATTATTATTACCCGACATTTATTTACACAAAATATAATTACTTAACTTTGCTATGTTCAATTTCTAGCAATGAAACTAGATCATGCATATCAGTTTTATAGACAACAACATGACAACGATTTTATAAATTTATCAAAAGCACAATTATTTAGACCTATGAACGAAAATAATCTTAAGATTGGAAGACCTTAGCGTTTGTCGCATTGTGGAAATTGTATCAAAGGTGTCACATAACCTAAAAGTTTAGAACCGCTGGTCTGGAATGATTCACACTTCCGCTTTTACCTTGTATGGTTATGCCCCAAAGCTTTGTGGCAATCTATGACGTCATTCGTAACAGTTTTTTTTTTATTTGTACGTAGTACGTAGTACATTAACATTAAATAATAATAATAATAATAATAATAATAAATCATTTTAAAAAATAAATTTGTATGTGTGTAATCTTAGTGCGTGACTTTGTTTCCTTAGATGTAATCTATTAGTGATTACTCTTGGTCGTTTTCTCATTATCATACTACAGGTTTGTATAGAAGAGGAAAATTCAAGTTGTTTGCACATTAAGTTTTGGCTCGCCATGGGAATTGACGCAAAGCCTGTACTAATTAGCGTTATTCCAAATAGAACGAAGAACGACCCAATAAATGTTTGAGTCTGCATGAAGATCTGCAGTCATAGCGCAAAATGTTTGTTTTTTTAGATAAATGTATTTTTGTTTCAAAATGTCTCATCTGATGCTTAGTCAAGTGCTAAATATTATGTTTTTACTGTCTACATTGTCCTATGCTATATTTTATTATTGCTATAAGAATTTGTTATTATAAAATCGTTAAATATTCCGAAGTCTTTTGTCATACTCTATAATACATTAATCTCATAATTGTTTACTTTGGCATACATTATATTTGTTTTACTTTCTCTAGTGATAACTTACTAAATCTGTTATACAGTAATGTCAAAAACTTCCTATAACAAAATGTGATTCACCTGTTTTACTTATTCTAACGATAAAATCAACTTGTTGTAATGTCTTTCAAAGTAGCCATGAGTCTAAACTACATCACAATACGTTCGTCAACCCTTAATGATTTTATGTAATCAGTATATATTACTTAATGGTAATTTTTATTTCATTTGCATTGCCGACTGTAGCTTTCATTTTTTAAACATTACCTATTGGTAGCTACATTTCATAATACATTGCGTAATGGTAGCTTTAATTTCTTATACATTACTTATTGGTAGCTTTTATTTCATATACATTGCCTAATGGTAGATTTCATTTTATTCACATAACTGTATGATATTCACATGCTAGACTTTGCCTTAAAGATTTTATTTATTTGCTTACTATAATAATATTCTAAATTTAATTTAAATGTTATCTTATAGATTAAAAACGTTCCTTTATAAAAAAAACATAATTGGCTCATAAATTCCCTTACACATTATGCACCATTATTGTGTTGTCTCAATTTTTTATGTCTTTCACATAGACATAAATAAATATAGACTGGCCGAAGGAAGTAACTTCATGTAACTTGAAAACATGTATATCTATTGTATTCGGATTTCCGAATTATGAAAAATTGCATGATCTTCATTCTTAGAGTTTAAACTAAACTACACTGCCTCCTTATTTACAATATATTTAGGTGTGTGGCTGAAATAGATATGAATACTTAACTTTTATACTGCTCATAAATGTTGTATAATAAAGTACACAAAATTGCAAGTCACAAAGTTTCGTTTCATAAAACTCTTTAATCGGCCAGTCTATATTTATTTATGTCTATGGTCTTTCATTAGTAAACTAAATTTTGGATGTACGCCAAGACTTTAAAATCATCCTGCGCCGTTACGCGCATCAGGCAGCTGTTTCCATGAACGCGCGGCACCTTGTATTGTAAAAGTAATTTTTTTAAAAATACTAGCAATTTTGGAACTGTTGAGTTTTGTTAAAGTCATGAAAAACATTAACTACAGAAGTAAATCTAAACCATTGAAAGCAATAAAACTTCTCTAAAAGAACAAAATTCACAGTTTTGTTTTCTTTTCATGGTGATCATTATGTAGTGAACCCAAGTCATCCCAAGAAAGCACTCGAACAGACGCAAAATAAAGCCCCGAGATTTAAAAACTAATAAATATTCACATTTGGCTGAAAGTAACACCATTAGTGAAATCACTAAAGCTAGAGACACTTCAGAACAAAATACTAAAAAGTAAAGTAACTATATAACATAGAACACTGAACCATAACGTGCAGTTACAAAATCACAACTTAATACTCAGAAAGGCACAAAACAAAAGGAAACATTTCTTATTAAATCTGCTAACACAAACTCGTACAAGTGCTCCTTCTTCCCTAGTGCGATTTGAGCATGGTTGATTTAATCAGCCAGGAGAGCAATTTAAGTCTCTAATTAACATGCACGACTAGATTAACTCGTTGGACATAACTATCTTCTATTTTAAAGGAACGTATGTAATTTATAAAATATTGTTACGATTCTCTCTCTGCTAATCAAGCCTTCAGTAAACAACTGCTCAACACAACACATCTAACACAAGAACTTGACAACAAGAGTTCCAAATAATGTGGTTCTTTAATGAGTAAATAAAAACAGCAACACAGTAAACTGACTAGAAACGTTACACTGTACATCACCGTACTGCGTACTTAAAACTCTACTATCTCTTCCTGGACTCGTACGTTTCACTTGAGAACTCCACCAGGACCGACTTCATGACCGACTAACAGTCCCGGTCTCCTCGCTGTCCTGTGCTAAACTGCACAGCCTTACACACTCTGTTTCTGGTCCACGAAGGCTTCTAATCACATGACCATAGCAAGGGTCATATTCACTTGTAAACTGCATATCAGTACTCTCCCTTGTCCGTCGCTATAGCACGCTAAATTGTATTACTGGCCAGTGTCATATGCATCAGATGATAGTACACAGTTAACCCTATAGCGCCGCAAATTGGGTTACAACAATAAGATCATGAAGCAAACAACTCAAGGAAAGGGAATTAAGGTGTTACAATTTATTATTATTTTTTTTTACAATGGAGAATGACAATGATGACAAACAACAAACACAAACACACATGGCTCTGCCATAATAGACTCTTTCCTGGGCGGAAATCGTTAAAAGCTGCAAACAAAGTACTGCGGTTCAGTTCTCTTGTGAGTGGAACACATCTAGTGCACTTTGGATGAAAGCTGGTGGCTTCGAGTTGGTAACAATCCTTAAGTTTTAAAAAAAATAAAATATAATACTATTTAGAAAATACTAGGCAACTAACTACTATCTATAAAAGTAATGTTAATAGAGACCTAAATCAATGCAAATATTTGTGTTGAAATCTTTGAATGGAGACTAATAAGTCTATGTGTTTATTTCCTTATAATACAAAATAGAGAAGTAGTCACGCGTAGCAAAGAGAATGTGTTGCATTCAGAGAAAACGAAAACAGCCTGACCTCTCTCTTCTCTCTTGCTCACTTTCTCTCTATCTCTTCTCTCTTGCTATCTCAAGTTTTCTCTCTATCTCTTCTCTCTTGCTATCTCAAGTTTTCTCTCTATCTCTTCTCTCTTGCTCACTTTCTCTCTATCTCTTCTCTCTTGCTCACTTTCTCTCTATCTCTTCTCTCTTGCTATCTCACTTTCTCTCTATCTCTTCTCTCTTGCTATCTCAAGTTTTTTCTCTATCTCTTCTCTCTTGCTATCTCACTTTCTCTCTATCTCTTAAGACAATACATAATAAAAAGAGAAGCTTTTTTAAAACGAGAAATAGTTAGGTATACTTTTAAAACATTTTTACACAAGTCTATATGGACCAAAATCTTTGGACAATGGAATTAAATTGGGTTGTTTCATTTGCTGGAGCATTTAGAACGCCCCCGAATGGGGAAAAGAACCTATTAGTTTAGTGTGAAATGTCTGTCCGACTGTCCGTCCGTCCCGTTTAGATCTCTTAAACTAGAAAAGATAGTGAAAATCTGACATCATCATATTTTAGTCCATTCAAAGTTCTACTTTTTTTTTTCTAAAAGCGAAAAACTATTTTTTAAATCACGTATGCAAGCAGTGTTTTCATAAAAATACACCACTTTTATAATTCACTATTAATAGTAACAAACACGTGAGACTCTTTACTAGGGGAGATGAACATTTACCATATTTTTAACATATTTATGCAAATGGTTTTAGACATTTTGTTAAAAAAATATTTTTTTACATTTGTATTGCTAAGTTCTGTAAGTTCTTTCCTACTAACTACTACGTTTAGTTTTTTTAAAGAGAAAAAAAAGCTATTTAGTATGCTAATAAGTTTGACATAACATAAAACAACAATTAATAAGTATGTTTTCATATTATCTCGTGAACTGCAGTGCTATATCCAGGAAGAGGACTCTGAACTAAAGGAATTTAATTTTTTTTACGAAAATGTTTTTTCTTTTTTTGAAGATTTGAATAAGAGATTGACCCTTTACAAAACAATTAGAGTAATTAGATATTCATTAAAAGACATCTAATAAGCTAGGTTCGCATTTACTTTCACATTCACTTTCACCTATTTGGTCTGCTGGACCGCTGAGGCACCACACACGATCTGTCAACCTTCTTTCTCCTGTCATTTGTCTTTGATAGAACTTAATTGTAATGTTCTTTCTGAAAATATTGATATTGATACCTGCCTTTTTACCTGCCTTGGTGAACCACTTCGGGGGCCGATTTTGAGTTTGTGTCTTTGTAGCCTTGTTTTTTCTTTAATTATTGTTATATAGCTATTATATAATATGTGTGTGTGGGTGTTAATATTGTTAAAAAAAAGAGATAGAATACACTCTACTAACAAAAAACTTAACTCAAGGAAACATAAAGAAACTAGAACAAATACAAAATAGAGCAGTTGGATTTATAACAAATGAATAGTAAAATCTCTTCAGGACAGAAGAATAAAAAGTAAAGTATCTATAATACATCAAATCAGAATTTACAAAAAGAAAAACCAAACCTAATAAAATACTCAGAAACACACGAAGATAGAGGCACATTTTTTTTATTGCTTTTGCTAGAAATTCATACAAGTGCTTCTTTTTCTCATGTGCCATTAGAGAATGTCATGGGTTGCCAGGAAAACCAAGGTCTTAGCAGAGATTAAGTCAATGATTAATATCTTATATTATCTTATACGATACACACGTTACATCAAGAAAGAAGATGATTACGTCCTACGCGTCATTAACCAATGACCTAAATTCTGCCAAGTCACTGGCTAGCTTAGGCAACCTACTCCATGCTCTAATAGCGCTAGGGAAGAAATAGCATTTGTACAGATTTGTCCTAGCATATGGAGTAAAAAATTTGCATTTATCTTTGTGTCTTTCTGAGTATTTTATTAAGTTATGTTTTTGTATTTGAAGATTATGGTTCAGTGTTTTATGTATAATTGCTACTTTACTTTTGAGTCTTCTGTCCTGAAGGCTTTCTAAATTTAGTGATTTTACTAAAGGTGTTACTCTTGTCAAATGTGAATATTCGTTTGTTATGAATCTCACTGCTCGATTTTGTATCTGTTCCAGTTTCTTTATGTTTTCTTGAGTTGAGAGGTCACAAATAGAGGATTTATATTCTATTATTGACCTTACCAAGGTTAAATAACATTTTAGTTTTATGTTCTTATTTGATTTATAGAAATTTCTTTTAATAAACCCTAATGCTTTGTTTGCTTTTTTGATAGTTTCATCAATATGTGGATTCCATGACAGTTTTTCATTTATTATAACACCTAGGTATTTTGCGTTTTTAGTCTGTGTTACTGGTTTGCCATGAATAAGATAAGTGGAATTAATTTGTTTTAGTTTTTGTTTTGTTTTTACTCTTAACAACTGACATTTTTTCTGGGTGGAAAGACATGCTCCAATTTCATTCCCATTTTTGTAATTCATCTAATTCTCTTTGTAAAATTTCTGTATCTTGTGTTGTCTTTATTTTTTTTATATATTTTACAATCGTCTGCAAAAATATTCAAGACTAGATTGACATATGAAATACTAAAATACGAAGGACGTAATTATCTTCTTTTTTTTTTTTGAAGTAACGTCTGTATCTTATAAGATAAGACCCAGTATTATAAATTTCAATACAAGTTTCACAAAGTAGACATAACATGAAGCTCGAGAGTCATGGAATGAACCTTTTATATCTTATAGGTTTTTATGGGAAGAAACTTCACAAACAGCATATATTTAAAAAGGTTTCATTTGTATTAACTCCCTTTCATTATTCAATGTACAAGCACTTGAACCCTATTTTCAACTCTCTTGTTATCGAGTATTTATAGTAGTCTACAAAACAACTACAACATACCAAACAGTGGTATAAGCCTAACGTGTGATGACAACTGACCTCACAGACATCTTTGTGATTCTCAACAATCCTAGGAGATTCTTGCTTCCTATTAGAGAGAGATACTGCTTCAGACTTGCTACATCATCAGAAAATTCTTCGTTAGGCTAAAACGACAATGAATTTCGATTGGCATTAATGAATCTTGAAGTTGGCAGTGCCAAAGAATGAATACTAATTCCTTAAACTAAGTTATAGTTATATCAGCTGATGCATTGTATTTACATCGCAGACAACCGCGGAGCCACAAATAGGATTAAAGGGAACAATCATAATGTTATTTAACGCAAAAAGTCAACTTTTTTTTTTACCGCTCCGTCAACTCTTTTAATAAATAGTGAAAAAAAAACTCAATACCCCTCCCCCCCCCCCCTCCACGAGTAGAGTAACATAACAAGAACATTCATATTTTATAATTTCATGTATTTTCATTTTCCCAAATTAATTTTTTTGTTATCATTGTAGTGATAGAAATGAAGGAGAATATATAGACTTCGATAGGGGCTTCGATAGGGGCTTCGATAGGGGCTTCGATAGGGGCATCGATAGGGGCTTCGATAGGGGCTTCGATAGGGGCATCGATAGGGGCATCGATAGGGGCTTCAATAGGGGCTT